GCAGTGCAAAATTATTCTACTATTGACAGGACGATCCTGTCAGCAGTGCAATATTTTCTACTATTGACAGGACGATCCTGTCAGCAGTGCAATATTTTCTGCTATTGACAGGACGATCCTGTCAGCAGTGCAATATTTTCTGCTATTGACAGGACTATCCTGTCAGCAGTGCAATATTTTCTGCTATTGACAGGACGATCCTGTCAATAGCCACAGGCTTATATTTAACGTGTTTTATGACTTTTTTTCGGAGAAAGTAATACTAGTACACATTAATGATTGCTTCAAAGAGCAGCTTTGTTAATAATTGTACTTTTTGCATATTTCTAATGATAAAAATTATATGTCGAAAAATGTGTTGGGCAAAATTAACACAGCTGCTCATTTCAAAGATGTAAAACTAAGTGTGAGAATATTATTACGATGAAAATGTGTACACATGCAACAAATGCATACCCTGTGTCCATGTTGTACCAGGATTAAACTTCAAACCCCAACATGCTTCCACCCCAACAAAAAGCAGTCAACAGGATAAGTGGAAGGACAGACCCTTGCGTGTACTGAATATTAATTTTCAATCAGCTAGCTCTAAGAGATCCGAATTACCATACTTACTTGAAAGTTTAAAACCAGATATAGTAATAGGGACAGAAACCTGGCTCGACCCGTCCATAGCAACAGCAGAAATTTTTCCAGAATTATACAAAGTATACAGACGTGACAGAGGGGGGAGGGGTGGAGGAGTGCTGATTGCAGTTCGTAGTAATATTAACAGCTTTGTAGCACCTGAACTAGAAGTAGATGAGTGTGAACTACTATGGGTTCGTATTAAACTTAAAGGGCGGAGGACACTCTATGTCGCCGCCTTTTACCGACCTGAAGTTGGAGATGTGGCTAGTCTATCAAAACTTGGCATATCACTTTGTAGAGCCTCTCAACTCCAAAATGCATTTTTGTTAGTTGGAGGTGACTTTAACCTCCCGGGTTGGGATTGGTCGACAACAACCCTAAAGCCAAAGTGCCCATATGCTCAATTACATCATGACTTCCTTAATATGTTGTATGATAACGGTTTAGAACAGCTGGTAAAATATCCAACTAGAGATGACAACACGTTGGACCTGTTCTTAACAAACTGTCCAAACCAGGTACCACGGGTTGAAGTAGTGCCTGGTCTGTCTGATCACTGTATACCCTACTGTGAGCTTACCACGGGCACTATGAAGAAGAAACAAGCACAGCGGCTTATCCCCCTATATGCCAAAGCAGACTGGGACAACCTCAGAGCAGAGGCTAGGGAGATAAGCGCTGAGCTTCAGGAAAAGGGCGATAGTTGCTCAACGGAAGATTTGTGGACCACTTTTAAGGACTCTCTACTGACAGCAGTTAAAAAATATGTGCCACACAAATTATCAAGACCCAAGTCCAACTTACCTTGGATCACACCAAATATCTGTAAACTTATCAAACGCCGAAATAGACTATATAGAAAAATGAAGAAGTCTGGGTCAGTTAAACTGAGAGACGAAGTGAAATCTCTACGACACAATATCCAAAAATTGATAAGACGTAGCTACTGGAACTACCTTAACTCCATCTTCACAGAAGAGTCAACTGACAATAGAACCGGAAACAAAAGATTCTGGTCCTACATAAAAAACCAGCGCTCTAATAACGTAGGCGTTGCACCACTTAAGGTTGATGGACACCTCATCTCAAAACCCCAAGATCAGGCTGAGGTTCTTAACAAACAATTCCAATCAGTCTTCGGCGATGGTAGACAGTATACGGAGGAAGAGTTTGAACAAAAGACAGGAATGATGTACACAGACATACCAGTAATGGATGATATCATTATCACATGTGAAGGGGTGAGGAAGCTCCTAGCAAAACTAAACCCACATAAGGCAGGGGGACCAGACGGTATTAGTCCAAAGATACTACGTGAGCTAGCTGACGAACTAGCACCAGCGTTAACAACAATCTTTCGATCTTCACTTCGTACAGGTATAGTTCCTAACGATTGGAAGAGCGCGTATGTCACCCCCATATTTAAGAAAGGGGAACACTACAAGCCGGCCAATTATAGGCCAGTGTCCCTAACATGTGTTGCGTGTAAAACTATGGAACACATAGTGGTCACATCCATCATGCACCATTTTGAAGTCCACGATGTGCTCAATGACAGCCAACATGGCTTTAGGAAAGGGCGTTCCTGCGAAACACAGCTTCTAGACTTTGCAGAAGAATTAACAACAAACCTAGAGAGTGGCAAACAAACCGACTTATTGATCATGGATTTTGCTAAAGCATTCGATAGAGTAAACCATAGTCTGCTAGTACACAAACTACATCGTTATGGAGTAGGAGACTCCACCCTAGCGTGGATCAACAACTTCTTGTCAGACCGCCGACAGGCGGTAGTGGTGGATGGTCACAACTCATCCTTCGTCAGGGTTTTAACAGGAGTCCCACAAGGCTCGGTCCTAGGACCGTGCCTCTTCTTAGCATACATTAATGATCTTCCTAATAATTTGAATGCACGTGCTAGGCTTTTTGCCGACGATACAGCGGTGTATAAAGTAGTAGTGTTCCCTGTTCAGCAAGACTCGTTACAACAAGACCTACAAAGTCTGGAGCAGTGGGAAAACAATGGGACATGACGTTCCATCCTGAGAAGTGTGTTTACATGCCGGTCACCAGAAGTAGGAAACCGTTGTTGTATTCATATGTCTTACATGGTCACACTTTAGAAAAGGTACATAAAGCAAAGTACCTGGGTATCACAATGAGTAGTGATGGGAGCTGGGACAATCACATAAATAACATAGTAACCAAAGCAAACCAAGTACTAGGCTTTTTGAGGAGGAATTTAAAGATTAGTGCCATTAAGATAAAAGAGAGGGCCTACAAAACCTTTGTAAGACCGCTGTTGGAATATGCGGCAACTGTGTGGGACCCATACACCCAGAAAAACATAAGTAAGCTGGAAGCCATACAGCGACGTGCAGCACGCTTCGTGCTACATAGCTACCATAACACTTCCAGTGTTACGAACATGCTCACAAGACTTGGCTGGAAATCGCTGGAAGATAGAAGGAGGCTTGCACGGGTAGGCATATTGTACAAGATCCACCATGGGGTAGTGCAGTGTCCTACCATTGCTACAAAGCTTATTCCACCCCCACCAAGACAACGACGCTCCCATAACCAACAGTTCAAGCTCGTCAGTACTAGGACACAGTATAGGGGGGGCTCGTTTCTACCTAGGTCAATCAGGGATTGGAATCACCTGCAGAAGGAGACTGTAGAGGCCGCGACAGTGGAGGCGTTTGTGTCGCGAGCGGCCGCAGAGCAGTCTTAGACCTACTTTTACAGCCTTCTTGGTGACGACTCGGCATGGACAATGGACGACGATTTATGGACAATCCTTAAAGTCAGTATTACATGATTGCACAGACTCCTGCGCAAAACGCGCTCTCTCCCAAGAAGCCAAAATATTCGTCGTAACGAATGTGGGCTTACACCGGAAGAAGAAGAAGAAGACTTAGTTTGCACTGTGTTACCCATAGTGCCTCATGTCTCTCAGCATGCAGTGGCACCTGTGAAGCAACATCTGTTTCACACGTGACACTCAGTAAGATTTGACCAAATACTGTAAATCCCTTGATATTCGTGGTACTTTAATACCCCAGTATCTGCTATTTTCACGGTCACTTGTGTACCACAAATTTATCTTTTATACCGACTTTCTTTCTTCTGCACCTGCGTTCTGCAAACTAAACATGTCCATTTTTCTCAGACCTCAGGAAAACAAAATCAGGACCTTTATGATTGTTTCCTCACTTTTAGAACTGCACAAAAGGTTGTCATCTAATCTCTGTTTTTGTGTAGGTTTGCCCCTCTTGGACAGCCCAGCTGTTTCCAGACAATACAGTAGTGATAAGAAAAAAACTGAGGAGAAAGCTCCACTCAGAAAGCCTAAAACACCAGCGGGGAAGTTGGACCAGAAGGAGGGTGACAGACATCCGTATGCTGAACAGGACCCATTGCCCCCCTGGCCAGGTATGTCACTCATTCGATAAATATTGTCATACTAGTTGTTTTGACATGGCACTAGGAGGGCCTTGCCAATGACTGACCCAGCTGGAGGTCCACACTGTCCAGTCAGGTAAAATCAGCTAGACTGATGCACTGCACCAAAGAGAATGTACCCTGGATGCCAAACTAGTATCGGGCCGTTAGCCTTTTTCCTTCGGCAGCCGAGAGCCCTTCGCCCGCCTGCCTACATTACCGCTACGGGGGAGTTGAGCCCGATGGGAGTTGGCTGGCCCTAGAACTAGACTCGATTGTCCGGCCAGCCAAACTCCCCCCGGGCTAGACTCCCCGTAGCGGTAATTTACACCAGCGGGCGAAGGGCTTTTGCGGCCCGGACAGCGAGTTTGGATTCCAGGGTAAAGAGAATGCAACTGAAGAAAAGAATGCAACACACCTTACAGCTTGTGCCCAATATGGTGTACACTCGTTCTCAGCCATGTCTGAAGCTGAGGGCACTTAAATCAACCACATAGGAATACCATGGTCAATATTGACTGAATTGAAGGAGGCCAAACATATTTGACTTAAGATTGGTGTTTCATCCTATTCTAGCTCTAGTTCACTCCTTGGTTTGATTCTTTGCTGAAAAGTCTGGTTGTCAACTGTTTCTTAAATGTTTGGCCTTTAATGTTTTTGATTATCTGGGGAATCAAATATTTCTCAGAAGCTGGGCTTCCAAAATGTATGTTACCATGTTGTTACAGTTGACTGTGTTCTTACTTATATGAAAATATCTAAAAGCCAGCTTTTTCTGTGTTAGGTACTGACTTGAATTGTCAAATGCTGACATGTATAAGGCCATGTTGATTTGATTATATGGATGACCTCCGCGCGCGCATGAATTTTTGGCCGTTTCCAAAAAAAAAAAGTTTTCAACCATACTGTTAATCGTACAAAACAGTTGCAAAATGAGCAAAAATATACCATAAGTTACAAAAAAAATTAATAAAAACTATACCAATGTCGTAGAATGCCAAAATCAAACGAAAAAAGACGAAATTGTAAAGAAATGAACTTGAAGACTAGATTATTTGCCAAACCATATTCTGTGCCATTTGCTCAACCCTCATGACCACGTAGATTTCATAATGAAAAGACCTTTTTTTTTTGCAAAACTTTTTTTTTATTCGCACGTGCGCATCAGTTTTGGGGCTCCCGGAGGATGTCATCCATATAATTAAATCAACATGGCCTAACCATGAAATGAAGTTTATCTTGATTTGTGTTCTGTCCAGATAACATCAACCCACACACAGGAGAGAGAGGAGGACCCCGGGGGCCTGAGCCCACACGTTATGGGGACTGGGAAAGGAAAGGAAGAGTGACAGACTTCTAGATAATAGTAGAGATGGGACACTGACCAACTGCCATGGCTTGAGCACAGTCAGAACGTACTGCACCTACGTGATACTCGTAATGTATTGTACATAGTCATAGCACTTCAGCAGAACATCTCATATAAGGTCGTGTACATATTATAAGGTTAACATCCCGTCTGTAGTTTCCAAATGTTAAGTCAAAAAAGATCTGCAACATCTGCAACAGGCAAAATTCTGATGCGACGTTCACCAAAAATCCAATGAAAACCATGTGTACAAAAATCAGCATTTCGTGCAGGCGCAGTACATTCTGCTGACATGCTCATGGCTTGTAGTAACAGTTGTCAAAGAAGAAACACAACAGTATTTACTGATGATGGTCTTTTCATGATTGGATTGCATGCTGGGAGATGCAAGGCATTATGGGTAACACTGGGGCAAAAATAATAACTAGTACCATGATCAAATATTCTGGATGCAAGAAACATGCACTGCATACATGTCTACAGTCCTGGTAGTGATGTTGTTTACCCCCAGCACAGCTACCCATAGTGCCTTGTGTCTCCCAGCATGCAATTGGATTTGTGAAAAGGTATACATGTATTTGACATGATATCAAGAACTTTTTGTTTATTGTTGAGGAATGGTGAAGGCCTGCAAAAAAAAAGGAAAATAAACAACTTGCTTTGTTTCTTCAAGTGTTGATCACCCATTCATTTATTGTCAATGAAGGCAAATCTGTAGAGTAAAAGGTAAAACAAAACCTTACTGTTATGTAAGTCACGCTAAATAGGAGGACCAAATAGTTTTACCCTGAAAGTATCATATTTTACTAAAAATAAACTTAAAATAAGAAAAATGCCAGGAATTCAGAGTAGAGTCCATTCCGTGTCACCGTGTGGGTTTTTTCTCCATGTTTCTAATATGTTTGAATTATTTAGAAGAAAAGAATACCCCAGTAACAAAAGTTCTAAATTTTTCAAAAATTTGAAAAGGAAAATTTGAATATATTTGAATTCATTTATATATTTCTGAAACATTTTGAAAGTGACTGTACAAAGATATCTTTATTTAGAATAAATTTGAAATACCCATGTGTTTCTTTCACTATTCGAAATATTTAGAAATAATTCAAACAAATAACCAAATGGTAGATGTGGGTAATTGCCCCCATAAAAGTAGGTGCTAATCCTACTCTTTTGTATTCTTCTGTATATTTTTAGATTTCACTGCTGGACACTGGTGGCTCTTTTGTTGTAAGGCATCAATGCCTGATGCCCAGGCAGACTAGCCTGTACTTCACAGGGAAGTGTGAATTACTTCCTTCCCATCCCACTGACCACTTTACAAAATGTTAGAAATAATTCGAAATAATGGTAAAAAATGGTAGAGTGCTGTTAGAAATATTTAGAAACTATTGGAAATGTCATAATCCACATTAGGAATATTTCAAACGTTTTAGAAAACCAAGGAATTATTTAGAATATTGACAAGATGTTCAAATTATTTCCAAATTATGAAATTTCTTAGACAAACAATTACAAAGAATTAAAAACATTTCTAAATAATGACAATAACAACCCACACGGTGACGCGGAATTGACTCTACACTACATTTACGGGAACATTTTCTTGTGTTTTTTTTTTTCAATGGATATCATTGCCTCCTTTTGACAGTTCGATATACCACAGAACAACTGCTAGTGATCTCTACCAAACTTATGATATAGCAGTCATGACAAAATTATCACAAGGCTTGATTGAACGTCCTAACGGCCGTAGCCCGAGGTCGGGTGGTGTTACGTACGTGGTGCTTAGCGGGTAACTGCCGGCCAGCCGTGACCGCTATCGGCGGTGTTGACAGCCGGCGGGACCGGAATGGGGTGACCGCTGACCGCGTTGAACAGTGACCGCTATATACGCGATTCTTAATGCTTACGTCAATGGGAAAAATTCAAGGGACCGGCAAAAACCGACCGCTATGGCCGGGTGACCGCAATGCCAAGGTGACCGCTATTACAGGTTTGACTGTATTATAATCAGGGTAAAAACCAGGATAAAATACAAAACAAATACAGATACATGTAGTACCAACATAAAGTTCCATGGGTCGCAGTCACTTCAAGGGTGATCTATACAATTTTTGTATACATACCAGACTCCTTTTCTAGTTGTGTTGTAGTAAATGTAATGAGCAGCCATAACATCACAGCTCCACATAAATACTAGTATGTTGCCTGTTAATGAATCTGTGCTACTTCTGTTTTCTCTGAATGGTAAACAGAAAATACTGTCCAAACTTAGGTAACACTTTCTAAACCCTCTCCACTTCCAAAACTGCGTGTGGACTAGATACTGCTTGGAATTTTTGGCATCGGTATGTTTCAGGTACATACATGTAACGTTAGTATCACTGAGGGTCACTTAAACATTTCTGTTACAATCATCACTTGTATAATATCTGAGCAATAACAACAAGCCATCTTGTAACTTTTGGCTATTCACTGTCAGCAAGAATTCAGCTACATAGCAGATACTGTTGCTGACTCTTATACTGGATTAACTACGGGACTAAACAAAGGGAGCTATTACTCTGTTTTGACTGGTCTCAACTGCCATGCAAATTGTCAAAATCCTTATTGACTACTGGAAACATACAACCTATGACAGTAAAATAGTGGCAGGTATTGGTAGGTCATCCAGAATTTCCTCTTGAATCTAGCATCCTTTAGGGAGGCCGGTGTGATCTAACCTAGCCTTTAAATGGCAAAATATCTGAAGCCAAATATATTATCACCATCACGTTGAGAGATACTGAGTGTGGTTGTAGAATTCAATAGCAGTATCGCACATTGAAGGTATCAAGGCAAACACATTTCATGACATGACGATAATGCTTTGCTTCACATGATCCTAGGATACCTATCAGGTTACGTTAGGTTATGTAGACTCTACCAGGCTTCAGGAAAGAGTAGAAATTCATAAAATAGACAAATAGGGAGTTTGTCAGTGCTAAGAGAAGTTTGCTGATCAAAAACTGCTCTTAGCGCAGACCAACTCCCCTGGCATACCATCTTCCTATTTGGGAAAATTTCTACTCTTTCCAACCGCTTCCTGGCACCTGGTAGAGGCTATATGTTATACACAAACATATCTGAAGGACTCTACAAGAGAGCATTGTGGATGACTTTATGGCTGTTGCCATTTTGTCAGTTCAACACAACAGTACTCTGTGGCTCTGGTGACTGTGCCTCAAGCCCTCAGAGCACAGAACTGTTGGAACACCTGCAGGATGTGGGCATCTGTGTCTGAGGTGAAGAGCAGATTCTCCAGGGTGTCCAGGTACTTGGTAACTGTGCTGTGGTGCTGAAGGAAGGGAAACAACAACACAGGATCACCAACATGTTATTCTTCACTATAATCATAAATGTTCATCTGTGTTGGTAGTTAGATGTTTCAAAATTTCCTTCCAACACAAAAGGTAAATGTTCTCAACTAGAGCTTTTGTCAGTCACTCTGGTCTTCCTCAGTAGACTGACCTAGTGAGACTTGTCACATGGCTTCTCTGAAGTGTGAACACTGGGTCAAAGGTATCTGGTAAACGATATTGTTTCCTGAGAGAGGTGAAAGAGTCTTCACATTAGGGCCCATCAGGCTTTTAGCTAGGATTTTTTTGGTGGGTGTCCATTTTTTTTATTGTATGCTATGCACAGTGCAGACGTGCTGAGTGCACGATTTTAAGGGGGCTTTTTTGAAATTCATAATGCTCTCAAACACTACTTTCTGCATTTTCAGGTGTAAATTTGAGTTTTTTCCTTCAGTTAACCATCATTTTTGTATTTATAGTAAGGCTGAAGGGAGGCATGTGTGCATGGGAAGGGTTGGGAGTGGAAAAAATAGGGCGTCTTTAGGGTGTCCTACAAAAAAGTACGGCGTCCAATTTCTTACTACTAGTATTTTCAGTACAGGGCGTCCAAAAGACACCCTGGACACCCCCTAGCTAAAAGCCTGGGGCCCATCCCCCTTTACTCAACCTCGACGGGCTGACACTGTTTACCAGATACCTTGATGTCACACGTAAGAGAAGTAACAAGTCTCACTGGGTCAGTCTACTGAGGAAGACCAGAGTGACTGGCTGAAAGCTCTAGGTGAGAACGATTCTTTGCATTGGATCAAAAGTTTTAACACCTACAATATTGTACACGTCCAATAATTTCAGAGCCATGAAAGCAACCTTTGAGCAAGTTTGCTTCTAAGACGTCCTACTAGATCAGACAGAAGAACTTGGACCGAGCATTTTTATTTAGAAAACCATCCCTACCTGTAGGAAGATCTGTTGCAGTCGCTCGATGGAATATCTGTACCAGGCAGTGTTGAAGTCTTTACCCGACGTCTCGCATCTACCCAGATGTTCTGTCAGCACCATGATGAAACGCTGGGTGGAAAAAAAAAGATGACGGACTCATCAGACCCTAATGCAAACCTTGGTGATTTCTGTTTGCAACACATCACCCAGCATGCACTAGGATCTGTGGAAAGGTATGAGCCCTTAGGCCACACCAATTTAATTTGTTGGTTCTCGGATTTTTTCAGAAAAAATATGAAGCGACAGGGCGAAAAAAAATTAAAATAAAAACAGGTCTAGGCATCCTATTATAGCCCCAAATGCTACAATATGAGCCATGAAGTCAACAAAAAAGGCTGGGTTAAAATTTAAAGTATAAATTTTGAACTTTTAATCAAACCACTGCATTGATAGATGGAAAAAGCTGTAACAAAGAAGAAAAGGAATTTCCTCAACTGTTGGGGGCAAAATATGAGCATTTTTGAGTTGATTCAGAACCAGAATCTTTTTTTTTTTGTGCAAATCAGAAAAAAATGAAGAGGCGAATCCGAGAACCAACAAATTAAATTGGTGTGGCCTTACTGTTGCTTTGGCAAAGAATGTCAACACATGAGTATGTTATCATGAAAGTTCATCTGGATTAGTAGTTTAAAGTTAAATCTTTTGATCCAAATCATCCAACACAAAGATTTTCTCAGTAGACTGACACAGTGAGGATTCTTTGAACTGTGACATGTACTAAAGAAGACCAGAGTGACTGCTCGAAAGCTCTAGGTGAAAGAATTTCTTTGTGTTGGATGAAAAGTTTTAACTTTAAAGAATATCTTGCGAGGTAGTTGTGTCACAATGATATATAAGCAACAGATGTAACTATTACCACGAATCCCAAAGAGGAAAACATGATGCAAATGTTAATGAAATTGGTTCAATGATACAAGCATCCTAATCGATTGTTAACTTTTCATTTCCCTCATAGTCATACGATTACAATCTGAAGATGCCGGAAATTCAAAACAGAGTCAACTTACCTGGAAGATGACCAGGAACAGTTTCTTCTGCTCACTCTGGGCCGACTCCAGCCTTTCCTGAAGGCGTTCGATCTCCTCTTCGTCCACCCTGTCCATGTCCTGCATCTCATCTTCACTGCCACTCTGGAAGTACAACACGTCAGAATTATTGTTACCAGAGTGTCACAGGGCTCAAAATACTACATACATGTACCTGCGCTGGTGAAGGTAACATTGAAAATTACCTGCACAAGACAAGTTTTATGTACACCACTCAGACTTGAGAAGTATGGGGAATACAACAAACTTTTCAGAAACCATTGCCATTATTTCTTTTATACTGCAAAGGTGGTAATAGTCAAGGCAGCAAATAAAAATCCACTATTCGAATGAAAGCTCATCTGTGTTGGTAGAATCCATAGTTAAAGAGTTTGACTTGTTCCAACACAAAAAGGGAACTCACCATAAATTTTCGGCTGATCCCGTCAACCTTCGTCAGATTTGTGATGCAGTCGCTGACTTTCCGGAAGTCGGAAACGTGATGACGTCAGTAGTGCATCAAAAGTGGCGGGAAGACAGTATCTCCCACCATCACGGTTCAGAGAGGGTTGGTGGGCCCTGATGTAAACTGCCTCCTTCACGCCTCTCACAAAGTAATCCTGCTCCGTATCTAGAATGCGCACCTTGTCCAATGTAACTGTATGTCCGGGGGACTCGATGTGTATGTGTTGCGACACTTCCGATGTGTTTGAACTAGGGCGCCTGTGTTCCAAAAATCTAGTCTTGAGAGACCGTTCTGTTTCCCCTATGTATGTCTCTAGGCAAGGTCCTCTGATATTTTGACCTGCGCACCGAATGTGGTAAATCACGCCACACTTTTGTTCTTTGGGGGTTCTGTCTTTGGGGGTCACTAATAGCTGTCTTAACGTACGGGTCGGTTTGAAACACGTTTTTAAGCCATGTGTCCCGAAGATTCTCCGTAAAGCTTCAGAGGTGTTCTTAACATAGGGTAGGACGACTAAACCTCTGTTCTGCCTCGTAGAAGAGTTTGACTGACGGTTTCTATCAGTTGTAGAACGTTTGGGAGCAGTTGCCTTGGAAACTGCCCACTTGGGGTAGCCACAGTTTAGCAAGGCCTGAGTGATGTGTTCTTTCTCAGCCTCCCTATCTTGGGGGTTGGTAATAATGGTGTCCGCCCTGTGAAACAATGTACGAATGACACCCAGTTTGTGCTCCAGGGGGTGGTTAGAACTAAAGTTCAGATATTGGTCCGTGTGGGTGGGTTTTCTGTAGATCCTAATGTCTAACGAACCATCGTCTTTCACCACTGTGAGTGTATCCAGAAAAGGTAAGGTTTTGTTCGTTAGAGGCGTGAAGGAGGCAGTTTACATCAGGGCCCACCAACCCTCTCTGAACCGTGATGGTGGGAGATACCGTCTTCCCGCCACTTTTGATGCACTCCTGACGTCATCACATTTCAGACTTCCGGAAAGTCAGCGACTGCATCACAAATCTGACGAAGGTTGACGGGATCAGCCGAAAATTTATGGTGAGTTCCCTTTTTGTGTTGGAACAAGTCAAACTCTTTAACTACAAAAATCCACTATACCTACATGTATATACATGTATAAATCCAGTACATGGACAGGTGCAGGCTAGGTGCAGGCAGACATCAGAAATACCTGTACCTACACCAGCTGACCTACACAGACCCAATGTTACCTGCACTAAGGTGCCAGCATTTTGAGCCCTCTGTTTTGTTTACTGTTCGCAACTTAAAAGAGCATAATTATGTTTTTTCAAGTAGTTGACTAGAACCTCTCAAATATGAAAGTACACATGTATTACATTTCTGTACCAACCCAATGATCTAAAGATAATTTTGCTATAAGGCCACACCAATTTAATTTCTTGGTTAACGGATTTGCCGCTTCATTTTTTTCTGATTTGCAAATAAAAATAAAAATTCAGAATCAACTGCAAAATGCTCAACTTTTGCCCTGAACAGTTGAAAACAGTCCCTTTCTTACTACTTATTACAGTCATTCCATCTTTCAATGCAGTAGTATCATTAAAAGTTCAAAATTCATTGTTTACATTTTGAACCAGCCTGGTGTGTTGACTCCATGGCTCCTATCGTACCATTTTGGGCCATAATAGGATGCCCAGGCCTGTTTTTATTTTTATTTTTTTTTCGCCCGCCCGCTCCATTATTTTTCTAGAAAAATCTGTTAACCATGAAATTAAATTGGTGTGGCCTAATGACAGTTCACAGTAATCACCTTATCACCACTTTTCTCTGTTTTCTGCTGAGCGTCTCCCAGTTCTTTCTGCACCTGAAACAGTCAAACAAAGTGCTTGTCACACCAAGTCTACGGATGTTATCAAATGTGACATACAAGTAAAACATAGACCATCACACAATCCAACAAAAATCATACAGGGTACATGACTTCAATGTCTCCCAGTAGTGTTTCTTTTCAACAAACAACTTCCATGTAAATGTTAATTTTTTATGACACCAAAATACAACAGTTCCCAAAATAGTCAAACGTGATAGGTACTATTTGATGAACAAAGACCTTTGAGTGTAGTCAGAAGAGAGTAGTTTTGGTACAAATGTCTTTGTTCATTAGGCCACACCAAGTAAATTTTATGGATGACGTCCGCGCGCGCATTGATTTTGGCCTGTTCCTAGAAAAAAAACAAGAAATTCCGCTTCCTGTAACTATGACCAAAGAGTCACGACAGTACCGCAAATCGTCAGATTGACGTGAAACCCGTAACGCCGAAAGCCTGTGCCTGGTGAAAAAAATGAAAACGAAAATGAAAAAAACAAAAACAAAATGGCACTGAAAAAAATCCTGTCAATAGTTCCAAAACAGTGCTGTTTTTGGAACTATTAACAGACAGGACGGTCCTGTCAGCAGTGCAATATTTCTTATCTAGGCATCTTGTTTTTCAGGGCCCTTCTTGTTTTTTTTTTCGCCCTCTCGCATTAGATTTAGGGTCTCCAAAGGACGTCATCCATAAAATTTACTTGGTGTGGCCTTAAAATAATACCAACCACGTTTGACTAGTATTTTCAGGACCTGTTGTATTTTAGTGTTATTGGTGTCACATGGTCTTTAAGTACATTCAGTTAATTTTGATAGTGGGAAACACAGTAGTCAATTCCCTTCATTACTTGAGGAGACTTTTCAGCTGAGTGCTGCTGACCCTCAGTTAGACCTGCAATGCACTGAAAGGACAATGTGCAGTACAGTGAAGAAAATGCTGCAAAAATGGCCATTTTTTACTGTTGTACTGTGATAAAAGTATGTCAGTAAAACATCAGTAGTAAAACAGTAGTGTAAAACTAGTGTAATCAAAATGATACCAATTTTGAGGGAAAACAATACACGTTGAGCACAGTACTTAATGTATGATAAATCAGGCATGGGATTTAAACAAATTTACATTATAATGTGGAATGTGACAGAACCTACCTTGTCAACATGCTTGTTCATTTTCCTGATAGTAGAGTGCATAATCTCCCACACATACAGTCTGTGAAACAGACAGGAGAAACATACATGTAGTGTCATTCATTAACCTTCTTCCTGCTGCCTAACCCCATAACCAATACATAATGTATGGTGATCACGCAGCCCCTCTTGAACTCAGTTCTGTATGGCACTTGCAACCTTACGTAACCCAATACATGTTACCATAGTGACAGACATCTGATCCAGGTCATTGACCTTATTTGTTTGGAAGAAGAAGAAGAGGAAGAAACTGAGCAAAAACAATGTTTTCCTCATAAGGCCATGTTGATTTGATTATATGGATGACATCCGCGCGCGCATGAATTTTCGGCCGTTTCCAAAAAAAAAAAAGTTTTCAACCATACTGTAAATCGTACAAAACAGTTGTAAAATGAGCAAAAATATACTGTAAGTTACAAAAAAATAAGTAAAAACTATACCAATGTCGTAGAATGCCAAAATCAAACAAAAAAAGACGAAACTGTAAGGAAATGAACTTGAAAATTAGATTATTCGCCAAACCATATTCTGTCCCATTTGTTTAACCCTCATGACCACGTAGATTTCATAATGAAAACAACTTTTTTTTTTGCAAAACTTTTTTTTTATTCGCACGCGAGCATCAGTTTTGGGGCTCCCGGAGGATGTCATCCATATAATCAAATCAACATGGCCTAATAAAAATGAGTCGGTGTGGCCATACCTGGTGAAGTCCTGGGACATGTCGTGGGAGAAGAGCCAGTTGGCCACGGCCGAACAGTTGACAATCTGTGTTCTCAGCATCTTGTCCACAAGCACAAACATCATCTGTAAACAACAACAAAGGGCAACGGTGAATCACAGATATCACAAAAAAACATGCAACAACAAGAAACACATGGAATAAATAGACCTGCAGTGGGATATGGCATAACAGATGCACTTGCTGGATTATTAAGATCATAAAGAAGGTTGTATGGATCAAAAAATCTACTTCAGTTATGATGAAGGGGGATTCAGGATACAAGCTTATATATAAGGGACTTTTTCACTGCAGTGCCACCTAACAGAATCAGTCAATACTGTAAGGACTACCAGAACTTTGGCAGGTACCAGTAGTTGTTACATGTATATGCTGTTAATGAAAATAGCTAGGGGGCCCAAACTTCAACCAAAAATTCATGCATGCGTAGATGTCATCCATATATTAATCACTTCAACATGGCCTAATATTATAAGCATTTGTACTGTACATGTACCTGTGGGTGTTTTTTCCACACGTCGTACATGGTGCGTAAGATGTGGATCTGAGCCTCCTCCTCTTCTGCCAGCTCCCGGAAAATCCCATGGAATCTGCACAATGCATAGCGCGGACAGACGGTCATCGAAACTGAACAAACGGCTAAAAATAAAACACCTGATGAAACTATTCACTGATGCTACCTATGCTAAAATTTGATAGATAATAAAGCAGCAAGCTCAAGGTAAAAACTATCAAAATCATGCATGTGATTGTATAACCTTTCCCACCTACAAAATATCTGAACTAGTGAACAGGAATGGGGATCTTACTTGGCCAGTGCACTGAAGGCATGGCTGAAGGACTTGCAGCCCAGGTGCAGCACTGTCTGTACAAACACATCTATCTTCAGCGGGTTGAAGGCTGCTTCACCTGGAAAAAACAGATCATAAGGCCACACCAATTTAATTTGTTGGTTCTCGGATTTTTTCAGAAGCGACAGGGCGAAAAAAAATAAAAATAAAAACAGGTCTAGGCATTCAATTATAGCCCCAAATGCTTTGATAGGAGCCATGAAGTCAACATGAAAGACTGGCTTAAAATTTAAACAATGAATTTTGAACTTTTAATCAAACCACTGCATTAATAGATGGAAATACTGTAACAGGTAGGAAGAAAAGGACTTTCCTCAACTGTTGGGGGCAAAATATGAGCATTTTTTAGTTGATTCAGAACCTTAATTTTTTTTTTTTTGCAAATAAGAAAAAAATGAAGAGGCAAATCCGAGAACCAACAAATTAAATTGGTGTGGCCTAAACTACAGCTTAGTCTGGAACACACATCTGCGGTTACAAGAATCACACCAATGCAAAATTGAAGGAAAACTGTCAAGAGCCACAACCTTCAGGTGCCCATACTGTAAATCACTTTATCTTTGAAGTAGCAAAATTTTGCAGTCTGAGAAAAATGGACATGTTTGCTGAACTATATTTTCGTTATGGCGGCAGGTGCAGAAGAAAGAAAGTTGGCAAATTATTTGTTCACGGTAATGATAAATTTGCAGTCCAGAAGTGACCATGAAAACCATGAATATAAAAGTACCATAAAGATGAAGTGATGTAACAAACTACAGTTTAGTCTGGAACACATACAGATGCTGCTCACAAGGATCACATCAGTCTACAGTTGAAGGAAAATTGTCAAAGGTCCCTTGGAAGAATTTACCGTCGTCATCCTTCTTGGGGTTTGGCAGGTCCTTAAGAATGTTCATCAGCTCCTCGGGTTCAGCCTTGGCCTTGATGGAGGCGATCAGCTGATGGGCGGCCACCGTTCCCGGTAACGAACCTGAACACACGGAAATTTGACCTTTAACAACAAGTAAACATGTAGCTTCAACCAAATATAAAGCGTACAGTATAGCACATAACAAATCAATGCCACATTCACATCTGTTGTAAGAGGTGACTGTACATGAGGTAAGGTGACTGTACATGAGGTAAGAGGTGACTGTACATGAGGTAAGGTGACTGTACATGAGGTAAGAGGTGACTGTACATGAGGTAAGAGGTGACTGTACATGAGGTAAGGTGACTGTACATGAGGTAAGAGGTGACTGTACATGAGGTAAGGTGACTGTACATGAGGTAAGGTGACTGTACATGAGGTAAGAGGTGACTGTACATGAGGTAAGGTGACTGTACATGAGGTAAGAGGTGACTGTACATGAGGTAAGGTGACTGTACATGAGGTAAGAGGTGACTGTACATGAGGTAAGGTGACTGTACATGAGGTAAGAGGTGACTGTACATGAGGTAAGAGGTGACTGTACATGAGGTAAGAGGTGACTGTACATGAGGTAAGGTGACTGTACATGTGGTAAGGTGACTGTACATGTACATGAGGTAAGAGGTGACTGTACATGAGGTAAGGTGACTGTTCATGTGGTAAGGTGACTGTTCATGTGGTAAGGTGACTGTACATGAGGTAAGAGGTGACTGTACATGAGGTAAGAGGTGACTGCACATGTGACTGACCTGCTCCCTCCTGTTCGTACTTGTAGACGTGGTTGGGTTCGTGTGGCAGCAGTGGCCCGTAGGCATCAGGGACTGTCTCTACAATCCTCTGGTGGTACGATAATCTATCATAGTAGAACAAACACAACCTTTATGTATAAACACAACCTTTATGTATTTACTTGTCCAATTATAAATGACAGAAAGTAAACATGTATACTAGCTACTTTTCCAAGCATCCACAACATCTGTTGCCACAAAAAAAGGTGTCAGGCTTCCCCATTGTAAGAAAAAGATATTCTAAGAACCACAATGGTTGTAACTCCCATGAGCTACATGCCCACTGCATATACACTAACATTATTAATACTGTCGTTCACTTTATTTCCACGGTAGCAAAAGCTTGCGGTCTGAGAAAATAGACCTGTTCGTGGAACTATATGTTTGTGGTGCATGGTGGCAGGTGCAGAAAAAAAAGAAAGTCAGCAAATCATTTGTTCACGGTAATGATCGCGGTACAGAAGTGATTTACAGTAATAAACCAAACCCCTTACCTGACGCATTTTCCCAACACCTCCTGCACAAATTTGGGCTTGTAGAGGGAGCTGTCCAACTCCACACACGGAACCCAGTCATCCCAGCTCCATCTGAACTGGAAGTTGCTCAGGTGGTGAGAGAACCAGTTCACAAATCTGTGACGAGGGCCACAACAACATTACACACAGATGAGGGCACGATACATGTAGTACATGTACTAGTAATCTAGCTAGTAATGGAATTTAATCAAAGCCTATTAACTAAATCCAGTGTTGCAGAGACACCTAGCAGAATGAAACGGTACTGCAACATAAATTCCGCCAACCTGTCCACACATGATATGTTCATGGTGTCTATTCTCTCGTACAGCATCTCGGTGGCCTGTGCCAGGACCTGTGGCAGGGAGCTGGGCTGCAGCTTGCACAGCTCGATCAGCAGCGTCGTGTAGAACACGTCCACATGGGGGGCAAACGGTAGCTGGAACAGCTGACCATAAACCACCTGGAGCAGAAGACAGATTTTGTCAAGGTCTTCTTACAGGTCTTGTTGCCAGAAGATAATTAGACAAAAAAACAAACTAGAACACCAAAGTTTAATGAGGCCACACATTTAAGCAGTTTTAAGGTATCAACCTTGCGTTGGAAGACATGGAAGCTAAAAATCTGTATACCAATGACAGAACTATAATGCTGATTAATGGTAATACCGTATTATGTTTTTGCAAGTGTGATTTTCATACAGATTTTATGGATCCATGGATGTTACATTGCATGCATGTACTTACCTCAACAATGTGATAGTTGAGTGGAATCTTGTTCTTGAAGGGGTAGTTCAGCAGTTGGGCAGCACTAAAACACACAACAAAATCCAGTTAGCCTTTGGAGCAGGACTTCAGTCAAAACATAGGGTATGACTTAGGTAGAATAGGTTGATTTACATGTCTTCACAGGCCTTGCTTTCAAGATTTCCTGTCTTACTGATAAAGAATTGAACAAGTAAAATCTGAGATTTTATACCTCCGGGCTTTTATTGTATATTTTTATATGTTGTTTGTTATGCATAGTTGACGGTGTTGAATTTTGTGCACAACAACAATTGTTGCGCGCCGCAGGACTAGGGTTTTAAACAAAGAATTTATCGAGACCGGACACCCCTCTGTGCGAGGGGTCATATACGTGGCTCAGACCGAGAATATCTTAAACACGCCAAAGGTCGACGGTCGCGACCATTTTCACGCTCAAAGGGGTGTTTTGGGGCCAACAAAAGGCACAATTTTCACGCCCGAAAACACATATACAATAAAAACAAAAGAACGTGCATCATCTACAGCCCACTAGCAAAACATACACGGAGTCCCAAAAATATCCGTCCACCCAGACGCGAGAAACAGCTGCGAACATGAACATCTAAATCTCTCACAAAACCCTTCCGCGGAAGGATGTCTCCTCCCCCGGAGGTAATGAATGAAATAATGAAGTAATGAAATGATGAATGAATGAATGAATGAACTAATAAATGAATGAATAAGGACTGACCATTCCTTCCTGTCCACAGCATACGTGTCAATAATCCTCCTCAGGTTCTCTTCTATCAGATATCTGTCCACAGAGTGGTGGCCTGGCATCACTGGACCCTGGAACAACAATCAACCACTGAGAATCAAAATATGATGGCAGACTTCACCCCCTCAGTTGCTAAGCTCTGCCTGCTAAAATATACTGAGGCTACGCACTCGGAAAACACAGTAGAAAGAACACAACCCACATACGATATTTTGATTTTAACCATTGACATTACCCACAATCCCCTAAAGTACCAGAACTGTGACATGACTTAGCCTGGGTGCCATCACCAGTAGTATATTCGCCAGCTCTATAACTGGGTCTGGACTTGATGACATATGTAGCGTCTGGAGTCTGAACATCGTTCAGATTTTGAACGAGCGCGCTGATTGGTCCTACTCGTCTAAGCCCTTTTTTGGGTGTGTACATATTAGGTAAGGGCCGTTCGGACGTCCGAACGGCGACGTTAGCATCCGTTCGAACGGCTACGTTAAGATAGATCGTTATTCTTATCTTATTATCATCAACACGTCCAACGCCAAACGCTAAAGCGCGCTTGATATAGCCGTAGTCAGTGTACTTTCCGCGATCGATCATCAACATGGCTGGCGCACAAGCCGCTCAGCTCTCGGAGCTTGATGTTGACCTCGCAAAGGTAGAACGCACCGAGAAAAGGAACACTCACGCGAAGATCTGTATTTACAAAACAACAAACATCACTTGAATGATACAGGCGCGCCATTGGCCGTCCCCTCTAAGGCTCAGCCAATTAAATGAAGACCCGCTGCTTGGACTAGCTCATTACGTGACGTCATCACCAGACGTTTCATATGTCATCAAGTCCAGACCCAGTTATAAGAGCTGGCGAATATACTACTGGGGATGGCACCCAGGCTAGACATAGCTTACTGTAATTTACAATTTTTCCATGGTACATGTACTTATGTTTGCGGTTTTCGTAGTCCCTTCTGTAGTGCAAACTCATCATTACAGTGAACAAATAATTTTGCTGTACCCGCTGCCACCGCAAACATGTACATTTTTCTCAGACCGCAAAGTTTTGCTACCGCCAAATAGGATAAAGACCATACCTCTGGTGCATCTGTGTAGTCGAACATCCTGAAGACCACAGTAGGCATGGGGTAGGCCGAGTCGTCTGTGTGCGGCGGGGCGTTGTACGGAGGCAGGTTGTGCTGCAGGGCCTCACACAGGATGTTATCGAAGGCCAGGTACGGGCGCACGATCTGCCGCTCCTGCCACTTGTCCATCCGCATCTTCTTGATCTGTGCCCACAGACAGTCCAGGTACTGGGGGAGGGGAGAACATGGTTTTTTTTATAAGGTAGAGGGGGTCTGACTAAACATAGGAAATACCAAAATACAACAGAGATAACGAAATACAGCAAAATACATGGATGGGTTGTTTGTTTCAAGGGGAATGTACTTGAACACGGATTTCTTAGAAGGCAATACATATAAGGGGTCGGACTAAAACAGTAAATAGCAAAATAGAACGGAAATGATGATAGGCAGCAAAATACATTGGATGCATTGCTTGTTTCAAGGGGAATGTGCTTATCATTGTCATAATATGGTATGTTTTGATAGTGTAATTGTACAACGCAACCACATCTTATAATTACTCTTGGACACCTGAGTTTTTGTCACATTGCTGTATTTGCCACCATGTTGGAGTCCTTATTTACATTTACAGAGGGTTTTTTATAAGGTAGAAGGGGTCAGACTAAACATAAGAAATCGCAAAGTACAACAGAAATAAATGGAGCAAAATACAGCCATGACATTTCAAGGGGAAGGTACTTAAACATTAGTTTTTCTACATACACTGGTGCAGGTAACATTGAAAGTTACCTGCACCGGACAAATTTTACCTGCACCACTCTTTGCAGAAGTATGGATCATACTAAATATTGATAAGAAACAACTGTCTTCATTTATTTTATTTTATTTATGATATAAAATATATATATAATATTATCTATTTTATTTCATACGTGGTTACAGTCAATGCAAATATGGACATATACAATGTATACAACATGTATATAAACCCAGTACATGGACCAGTGCAGGTTAGGTGCAGGTAGACATCAGAAATACCTGCACAGCTCCAATTTTACCTCCAGTAAGGTGCAGATGCACCCAGTATTTTCAGCCCTGTTATATTATATTATGATGACCCTGAAACACTCTAAACTGATGATAAGGCCACACCAATTTAATTTCTTGGTTAACGGATTTTTCTAGAAAAATAATGGAGCGGGCGGGCGAAAAAAAATAAAAATAAAAACAGGCCTAGGCATCGTATTATGGCCCAAAATGGTACGATAGGAGCCATGAAGGCAACACACCAGGCTGGTTCAAAATTTAAACAATGAATTTTGAACTTTTAATGATATCATTGCATTAAAAGATGGAATAACTGTAACAACTAGGATGAAAAGAACTGTTTTCAACTGTTCAGGACGAAATATAAGCATTTTGCAGTTGATTCTGGATTTTTATTTTTATTTGCAACTCAGAAAAAAATGAAGCGGCGAATCCGTTAACCAAGAAATTAAATTGGTGTGGCCTAAGAGAAGGCTGAAATAACACCCTACCTCTTCCTGTGGGTGGGGGATATCTGAGGACCACACTCTCAGGATGGGCACATGCACCTTCTGTCTCTTACTGCAACAAACAACAACAACTGTTACTTCCAAGTATGGGGCATGGCAATTTTGTTTTGGGTGTCTTGTTTGTCTGGACACAGTAGATTGACAGCACGTGGATTGGGAAGACTGCCCCAGGATCGGAGTGGGGGTGGACGTGAAAGTCATAAAAACCCGAAATACTTCCACATGTCTGAAATATTTTATTTCCTGTTTCAGGATGTCAATACAATGTATTATATTGAAGTTGACCTGCAGTGGAATTATTCATCATCAATATGCACACTCAATCTCGGCTTTATCTGCACCCCCTAGCAAGGGACATAAGGACTGCAGAACAGTAACTCACCTGATGTAGGCGTCGATGTTTGTTAGCAAACGTTCCATCTCAGCTTCTTTTTTCTCGTAGAGTTCCCTTGCAACCTGTGTCAACATGATACAATACATTGTACAATACAGTAAATAAGGCCACACCAATTTAATTTGTTGGTTCTCGGATTCTCCTCTTCGTTTTTTTCTGATTTGCAAAAAAAAATTCATTCTGGTCCTGAATCAACTGAAAAATGCTCATGTTTTGCCCCCCCAACAGTTGAGGAAAGTCCTTTTCTTCCTAGTTGTTACAGTTTTTCCATCTATCATTGCAGTGGTTTGATTAAAAGTTCAAAATTCAATGTTTAAATTTTAACCCAGCCTTTTGTGTTGACTTCGTGGCTCATTTTGTAGCATTTAAGCCTATAATAGGATGCCTAGACCTGTTTTTATTTTTATTTTTTTCGCCCTGTCGCTTCATATTTTTTCTGAAAAAATCCGAGAACCAACAAATTAAATTGGTGTGGCCTAAATTCAAATTCTCAACTCTTAAATTTCGTTGCAAGGCAAGCACCGAGAGTTTGCAGTATCTTTCAATTTGTGGCTGAAACAATGGTTACCCTAGTTAGGCCATGTTGATTTAATTACTGTATATGGATGACATCCTCTGTGAACCCCAAAACTAATGCAAGGGTATACATTAGTATCCTTTTCCAATGTTTTCTTTTGCGTCGATGAAGGTTAGACATCCAGGTAATACGATACGCCAAAAAGCAGTTACTCAAGCAACTGGATATGATTTTGAAAACGTCAGACGTTTCAGCTAGTATCCACTAGCTTTCGTCAGTGACTGAGAGACCAGAGGGGAAATGCAGGTTTAAATGCACAAACTATTGATTGATATGCAAATAAAGTGAAGACAAATTTTTGGAAGTCAAAAAAGGAACAAAAGTCAGACAAGTCAAGACAAGATAATGCAAATTCGTCAGAAAGCTCCTGTTATATAGAAAAGGAGCTTAAGTGTTGTCTGTCCTCGGGGCTGGGAGTGCCAAATCCCAAGTGCCGGAAAGATCGACCCGTAGCCCCCCTTCCCTGTTGAGGGTGGGGTTTCTTTTGCGATTTATGGCATATATTTGCTCATTTTGCAGCTGCTTTGTATGATTCACAGTTTGGTCGAAAATATGAACTCTAATGGTACATTTGTTTTGTAACTAAGGAAAATGTTTTGTAAAGGTTTATTCAAGTGACATTTTCAAAGATGAGGAGATAAAACCTTACCCATGGTAGTGTGCTGAGGGTGGCATACACAAACCAGTCTGGTCGAACCTACAGAACATAACAATATTACTAGAAAGGCCGACATTTGCTTGGGAGCAAATACAGCATATTTCAGTCCATCTCCCTCCCACGCAAAAGTGGACTATTCCAAACTTACCCCAGTGCAAAACTGGCAAAGGTTCTCAAATAAATGAATTAAATAGTAGCTATATGAGAACAAAGATGCAACAACAAGTACTTTGAATCTCGAAAGCTTTACTAATCTTATTACAGGTATGCAAAAACTAACAATGATGAGACTTGATACATTTTGAAGGTCTTAGGCACATAAAATTGAATGTGTGGGTCATTACGCACAACTTAGGTGCAATGTGACCTCAGGTAACCCGCAATGGAACACGTGTTCCATGGATGGAACCGGCCATTCTTTAGATAGAACATGGAACGGGTACAGCACTTTTGGCCCTTTTTTTGCTGAAAATAGCCATTAAAGTCCCCCAAATGAGTCATTTGGAAGTGGTGTATGCCAAATACATGACTGCTATTCTGTAGACACACGTTCAAGGTACCCTTATACCGAATGTCATATCATTTGGTGGTGGACATAACTAAATTATTAACATCACAACACAACAGAAAGCATACCTATTAGCATGAAGATTCTTTGGATTTGGTACTTAATTACTGGTAGAAATCCTTTTTCAGTGTTCTGCAATATTGCAGTATCTCAAAATTTTGTTCTATAATTTGGAAATACTTTCTGCAAATACACACTCTGAAGTCTTGACCTACACTCATGGCATATACCAAATTGCATGTTTGCAAACATTTTACATACAAAATTACTGTACTTGTATATTATAGAGTCAGTAGTAAACACAAAAGCTCTTAAGCCTGATTTTATTCAGTCCGCAAAATTGCAGGTTGCACAATTTTTCCTCTGCAATGTTGAAATTATCTCTGCAAAATGCAGACTGCAAGTGGGTATTTCTAACACTGTTAAAATAATATTTAGTACGGGCCTGAATTTTTGTTCCAACACAAAGATGAAAACGTTGAACGGACATTGAAATTAGCACCATCTTTGACTTTATATCCCTTAGGAAGAGTAGGTTCTGAACTGCACGTACCTGGGGTATGTCATCCTCCAGCGTGACGTTTACAAACGCCTCGTACCAGGCTAGGAGCGACGGCGCCGCGATCACGTGACAATTCACCAGGTCTGCCAGGAAGTTCACCTACAGACACAGATCCCATTCAAAACTTTTGAGTGTCTATACCCAAACCATTATGTGTAAAAACTTGCGATATAGGTTACGAACAATAAGCATTAAATATGAACATCAAAGAGGTATT